AACTAAGAGATTAATGTTAAAGATTTTATTTATTTTTAGAGAGTGGGGATGGGAGAGAAAGAAAAGTAGAGAGATATTGATGTGCGATAGAAACACTGATTGACTGTCTCTTGCACGCCCCCTGCTGGGGCCCTGTCCTCCAAGCCAGGCATGTGCCCTGGCTGGGAATTGAACCGGCAACCTTTTTGATTTGTGGGCCGGCACTCAATCCACTGAGCCACACCGGCTAGGGTTGAACACTATTATTAAGTGAACTGCAGACTTGATTCACTAGCTTCTCCCCCAGGAAGCCAGTCCAGGGCACCATGTTGCACTGAGTCATAATGTCCCCATAGTCCCCTGCAGTCTGTGATAGTTTCTCAGTCTTTCCTTTGCTCTATCAGTTTTAAGCACTTTGTAATCTATAGTCATTGCTTTTGTTATTATGTAAATTTTCCATGAATTATTGAATTGACTAGCGTATCAATCATACTTCCTTTTATATATAATATTTTGTTTTTCCTGGAGTTAATAATTGCTTTCCTTTCATTATTTGTTTTGTTTTCTTTGAAATTTACTAACCGTTCCCACATTCTCCAATAGTTTAGTAAGTCTTTCAATTCAATTTTATACATGGTGGATAGAATTTACCAGTTTAATTTTTGTTCCTGGAGCTCCCCTTCTCCTCCCATAACCACCCCAAACTGGCTAGGGGCTGCATAGCTTTTGTCCTGTAATTCCTTTTTGTCATCGTCCTGGAGTTTATCTTCTTGTCTCTACTGTAGTCCCTGTTTTCTCTATTCCTAGGGTTGTTGTTTTTTTTTTGGGGGGGGGGTTATGTTCTCTTTTTGTTGGAGCATGTCCTGTAGTAAATTTCAGATAAAGGATCTGTGGGAATTAAGTTTTTGAGACATTGTATGCTTTAAATTGTCTTTTTTCTGCCCTCACACTTATTATATCAATATAGACTCCTAGGCAGCTTCCACAATTGCTATTGAGAACTTTGAGATCATTCTGGTTCTTTACTATCCTGTTTTGTTTTTTTCTCTCCCTGGAAGATTTTTTTCTCTCTCTCTGTATTTCTGGACTCTGAAATGTCAGGTGCAGTTCATGTACTTCAGATGGGCTGACTCCACCTTTGGACTGAAAGTTTGGCACGTGACCCAGCAGGTCCAGTTAGTATATTCCGTTAATTTCAGGATGGGCTCGTGACTCGAGTGTCTAGTAACACTGACTCCTCAGACTTGGGTTGAAGTGGAGAGGACACATTCTCTCTCTCCCTGATTTGTACCTGGAAGTGTACCCGCCCATAGTTACCTAGGCTCTCCATGAAAAAGAAGGCCTTCCTAAGAGAAAAGCTGTATTAGTTATCTATTTCTGTGTTAAAAATTACCCCCAAGTTTAGCAGCTTAAAAGAACAAACATCTATCACTGAGACACAGCTTGGCTGGGGGCTTCTCCTGTGAGGTTCTCACAAGGTGGCGTGAGGCTGTGGTCTGCAGCTGCCGTCTCACCTGAGGGCTCAGCCAGGCAGGACCAGGGCGCATGCTCACTCCCGTGGTTGAGGGCAGGACTCGGTTTCTTGTTGAACCGAGGGCTGCCATTCCTCACTGGCTGTTGCCCAGAGGCCTCCTTCACTTCCTCACCACGTGGGCCTCTCCTCTGAGCGCCTCACAACGTGGAAGCTGGCTTCCATCAGAACAAGCGAGAGAGGAAGCGGAAACAAGCAAACAGAAGCTGGAATCTTTTGGTAGCCTGCTCTTAGAAGTGACATCCCCACACTTTGCCATATTCTAGTCACTAGAAGTAAGTCACTAGGTCAGGCTCATGTTCAAGGGGAGGTGATTGAAAAATCATGAACAACAGGAAATGGGGAACATTGGGAGCCATTTCCAAGGCTGCCTGCGACGGAAGCCAATGTTGAGGAAAGCGGAGCTGAGCGACAAGGCATAATCGGGTCCTAAGGGCTTCATTTCAGCCGGTGAATCAAGCTGGGCCTACACTCGAACCATCCTAGAGTGTTTTAGATAGGCCAGCCGCTAAACCAAATGGGCATAGACTGGGTGGCTTAAGCAACATAAATTAATTTTCTCCCAATTTCGGAAGCCACGAGCCCAAGATCAGGTACCATCAGAATTTCTGGTGAGACCTCCTGTTGGCTTGTCGGTGCCTGCCCTCTCACTGTGCCCTCAGCGGGCCTCTTATCTGTTGGTGCAGAGACAGAGCTCTAGCATCTCTTCCTCTCTGTATGAGGGAACCAATCCTATTGGATTAGGGCTCCACCCTGATGACCTCACTTAAGTGTCTAGGAACACTGACTCCTCAGACTTGGGTTGAAGTGGAGAGGATACATTCTCTTTTCCTGATTTGTATCTGGAAGTGTACCCGCCCATAGTTACCTAGGCTCTCCATGAAAAAGAAGGCCTTCCTAAGAGAAAAGCTGTATTAGTTATCTATGGATTACACAGTGAAATCCATAATAGTGTTTAAGCCAATAGGTTACAGATTACATCATCCGCAATATCCTAAAACGTGCTAAAGTGGCCGTCCAAACATTAGGGAGAGCAATCCATCCTCATTTGCCCAGGACTTTCCTAGTTTTAGCACTGAAAGCCCAATGTCCCAGAAACAATTCCATCCTATGCAAATCGGGACAGTTGTGAGCCTATGTAGTAGCAGTCCTTTGGTGACCGAAATTAAACCAACAAAACACCAAAACAACTTGCTCAGGATTCTGTGGCTTGGTACTACAGAAAACAAGGACTCCGGAGTCAAGTTCTAGGTTTAAATCGTGGCTCAACCACTTACTGGCTGTGTGACTCTGAGCAACTCACCTCATCTGTTTTCTCACCATTAAAATATGCATCAGAATAGCTACCTTGAAAAATTCCCAAGGGGATTGGAGAAAATTTATGTAAAAACATGGCTGTAAATGGTAGTCGTTATTGTTATAAACAGTTTGGGGAGCTCAAGCGTGACTTTTTTCAGATAAGACACACTGGGGTTCCCTAGGTCCCAGATTCTAATTTTGTACTGTAGCTAAGTGGCAGGGCTGTGGGGGTCTGTCTGATTTCCCTAGGGCAGAGCTGCTCAGAAAATTAGTGCTTAGGTTTCCATAGAGGTCATGGACGTGTTCGATAACCTGAAATGGCATTTCTGAAATGGCATGCAGGGACCCCTCATTTACATGTGACCGCCTTAAGCCGTCCTGGCACTCTTTCTTTAAAAAATTCAGACGTGTGACAGATGACAATGGTTGCCGAAGGTGAGGTGTGGACCGTGGGCTGAGATGACCCAGGGCAGAACTTGGAGGAGCACTTGGCCCCTTCTCTGCACAGCACCACTTGGTTTCTAACATAGTAACTGTTTCCTTCTGTTACTTCCTTACTCGGAACTCTTCTGGTTGCAAATGACAGAGCTGTGCTCCAGATACACTTTGGCAACAACAACAACAATAAAAGGGGGGGTTACCAGTTCAAAGAATGGCCATGGAAAGAAGCACCAGAATCAGGGACCTGAAATCTGCCATGACTCACTAGGTGTCTTGTCTGTTTATTTATCTTACCCTCTCTCACTAGCTTTTCCACAAGGCTGGGAAAATGGGATCCCCAACCCCCTCCCTACTGCCCACTTCCCACAACCAGAAGACTGCCAACCACTCTCACTGGCCCCAAATTTAAAACCCCAGGAAAAGATTTTCATTGGCTCAGCCGGGGTCAGGTGGCCATCCTTGGACCAATCACCAGTGACCAGGCCATCAGAGAATATGGTGGGTCTGAGAACCACCTGAGTGGGTCAGGGAAAGAAGCAATACCCAGGAGAGGTGCTAGGGAACAATGGTTAATGACAGTCCCAAAGTTGGAAACCACACAAAAATTTAACAGTGAAGATCCCACGTAAATCTACAAGAACAAAGCTTCAAAAGCGTGTTTGGAGAAGCATGTTGGAGTCCTGGTAAGTGACCATTGACAAACTGTTCCCAATAGCAGTGATTGCAGTCCTCACTTCAGGTGAGTCAGCTACAGATGGTCCCTCGCTCAGAAGGCTCACTCCTCCTTACGAGGACATATGCAGACTCTGTAAATAGGCTGTTCAGCGTCTTTAGACCTCACCTGTTCCTAAACTTCGGTATGCCTTAAAACCACGTAGGAGTGCGCCTTTCCCCTGCTTGCCTCTCAGATTCCGATTCAGTGGTCTGGGCTAGAACCAAGCCGTTTTACAAGGCTCCCAGATGATGCTAATGTAGGTGACCCATGCTAAGAATCCATGCACCCGACCATCTGTCTACAAGATCATTAAAATTAAGCATCTAGCACACTGCCTGGCACATGGTTTGTGCTCAAGAAACAATACAAGAGGAGCCCTGTAACTGGTCCCAGAATCTTAAGAGACCCCCCTATGCTTGCTCATTGCTGTGCAGTCTTGTGACACCTAGACCTCCCCTGGCCCTGTCCCCTGGGGGAAGAGAATAATAGCAGCAGCATTTTAATTTCATAAGCACTTCATTTTATTGCACAGAAGCAATTGAAAGTGGACTCCAGTGGAAAAGTGCGCCCTGGCATAATTCAGTGGTGACCAGCCCCACCCACTCCAGCTCTTGCAGGATGGAGAGCGCTGGGCAGGGGCCTGACCACTCCTTTGGAGAACAGAAGGCATTCGGGAATAGGTTAAGACATCTCAAGCATAATGTGTTTCTAACTGCTCATTCATTATTGCGGTCACCTGTCAGTTGCACATACAGGAGATAAATGCACTTATTTGGACAGGAGGGGGGGCAGTTTTTACAGTCAAGTGCGTACATGTGGCATTCGGCACAGATCACATTCTGCTACATAAGCTGTCGTAACATAATGATCCGTCGCCTGGGGAGGGTTTGGGACACGGGGGTAGGGTGGGGAGTGCCCCTCCTTGCTAACATATTGCTAACAGAAATTCCTGTTTGGTGAGGGGGAGCCCCGTCACCTAAGCGGAGTTTCTTATATAAAGAAAAGGGAAGGGGGGGATGAAAATGTGTTATGCCGACCCTTGAGCTCCCAGACCCTCCTGAGTTTCTTTGGCTGTTCTAGATGCTCCTTGCTCCCTACCTTACTTCTCCCCCTTGGGGGCCTTGTCTTCTGCAGCCTTCTCTGGAGGCCGGCTGTCCTTCTGGTCTGTGCTAGAGGACTTCTCAGCCTTTTCCGTCTGGGCTTTGCCGGGTGCGGGGGCCTCCTTGCTGGGCTCTTCCTTGGCTTGGGCCTCCGCTTTGGGTTTCTCCTCGGGCTTCTTGGCCTCTGTGGCTTTCTCCTCCTTGGCATCTTTTTTCTCAGGTGCTGCTGGCATCTCTTCCTTCTTTGGCTTTTCCGGCTCCTTCTCTGCTGCTTTGCTGGGTTCTTTGGCCTTGGCGTCGTCTTTCTTGTCCACCTCAGTCTTCTCTTTGGGTTTGGCCTCATCCTTCTCCTTGGCAGGAGCCTCCTTCTCTGGAGTCACTGCTTTTTTCTTATCTTCTGCCTCTTCCTTCTTGGCTTCAACTTTGGGCTCCTTGGGCTTCTCCACGGCAGGCTCCTTCTTCTCCTGGACCTCGGGCTTTGGAGTCTCCTTCTTGGGCACCTCGTCTTTCTTGCTGTCCTTCTTCTCCTCAGTTTTTGGCATGGCTGGAGCTTTCTCTTCCTCTGCTTTCTTTGGGGGCTCTTTGACTTTCACCTCCTGGGGTTTCTCTTCTTCCTTCGTGGGGGACCTCACCTCTTCCTTTTTTGAGACCTCCTTCTTGGGGGCCTTGGCCTCGTCCTTCACGGGAGACTTGGCCTCCTCCTTGCTAGGGCTTTTGGCCTTTTCAGGTGACTTGATGTCTGCAGGGGACCTTACTTCCTCCTTCACTGGGGTCTTGGCTTCTGGGGACTTCACATCAAGAGTCTTGGCCTTCTCAGGGGACTTGGCCTCTTCCTTCACCGGGGACTTGGCCTTTTCAGGGGACGTGACCTCAGCTGGTGATTTTGCTTCTTCCTTGGCTGGGGACTTGGCTTTCTCTGGGGATTTGACCTCCTCTGGGGACTTGGCTTCTTCCTTCACTGGGGACTTGGCCTTTTCAGGGGACTTGACCTCAGCCGGCGATTTTGCTTCTTCCTTAACTGGGGACTTGGTCTTCTCGGGGGACTTCACCTCAGCTGGAGATTTTGCTTCTTTCATGGGGGACTTGGCCTTGGTTGGGGACTTGGCTTCTTCCTTCTCTGGGGACTTGGCCTCCTTCTCTGGGGACGTAGCGTCTTCTGCTGGGGGAGACTTTGCTGCTTCTTCTTCCCCTTCTGCTTCCTCTTCTTCTCCCCCTTCTTCCTCCTCAGCCTCCTCTTCTTTGGCCTCCTTCTCCTCTTCTTCAGTCACTTCTTCGGTCACTTGTATCTCCTCTGTCTGTTCCTCCACAATCACAGTTTCCTTCTCTGACTTTTCTACCACCTTGATCTTCTCTTCACTTTTGACCTTTATGTGAGTGGATGTGGAAGGGATCTTGGGGAGTCCTTCTGGAAGGGAAAAGGGACTTGGGCCAAAGCCAATCCGACACTCTTCACCCTCCAGGAGTTTTCTGCGGAAAGGATAACGGAACGCATTAGTATTAGCTCAGAGTAGACTGATGACTTTCGGGTCTTCCTGGTTTCCTCTGAAGGTCCGCAGTGTGCACTGATAGGGACTTTGGCAGAGGAAAAAGCATGAACGGTGGGCACACTGAGAAGGGAGAGAGTCACTTAGCAAATCATCCCAGGAAGCCCTCAGAATCCTCACCCCAAGGGCACTGTTCTGATTTAATGCAGCTAACTAAGGCTGCAACTTACGATACAAAACAACTTTTTTTTCCCCTTGAAAAACTGCCCTGGAGAGAGTGCCTAACTTAAGAAAATTTACATTTATTGTCCCACGACTAAAATATTATTCAAAAGCCCTGACTGGTGTGGCTCAGTTGGGTGAGCGTTGTCCTGCAAAGGGATCATAAGAGCCCCTACCGCAGAGGGTTGTTTCAATGAAATGATGCATAAAATGGGCCTGGAAATGCCTGTGTCAGAGTAAGTGTGGGGTCGCGTAGGGGACCGGTTTGTTTTGGCCTGGCAAATGTGACTCAGCTCTGTATGGAAAACCTACAGAAGCGAGGTGGTGGGCAGGAGCCAGACCTTCAAACCGAGTTTTCCTGTGGGAATCAGGCCTAGAAAATGCATATGGACTGTTATGGCTTGCTCTTGCTAAAACTCCATCACCCTGGTCTAAGACAACAAATGTGTATGGTCTATCTTCAAGGTAATATCCAAAGCCTGTATAAACTTTTCCAAGGAAAGAGCTAATCAGCACGTCACCATTCCCCTCTGCATGTTATTTTCATTTCCTTGATTGTACCTAAAATGTAGACAATGATATTCTACGCAACAGATAATAAATCTTTCTCTGATGTAAGACCCGAGGAAAACAATAAAAGCCTGTCTAGGCAAGGGTAGGGGCATTCTCCCCTTGAGAGAGTGGCCGTGACGTCCCCTTTTCCTCCACAGGATTGCTGTTGCCTGTGCATTCATTCTCGTCATCAGCCACAACAGGCGGACTCTGCTGGCCGGAGTCTACCACAGGGTCACCTCTATGGACCAGTGCTTTGCAAGTTTAATGACATCGGAATCACCCTGGAATTCCATTAAAATGCAGATTTTGATTCAGTAGGTCTGGGAGAGGGGAGCTGAGAGTACATCTTTCTAAAAAGCTCATGGAGGATGCTGACTGTGCTGGTTCAGGAGCCAGGCTTCGAGTAGTAGGACTACAGCCCAGGATCAAGAGGTGGGGAGTGAAGGGTCAGCAGACAGCAACGGGCACAGGCCCTCCTGGGGTCAGCTCTGCCCCTCGGCAGGAAACTGCTGAGCATGGAGGCCTCGTGGCTTTTCTCTACCATTTACTGAGGAATTTCTCTGCGAGCCCAGTGCTACTACTGCGTTCCCTGGATCAGCTCAAAAACAGGATTAGCTCCTCCCAACAACCCATGACACCGGGGGTGACTGTGTTTTGTTGTTGTTACTGTTTAGTTTTAAGAATTTTTAGAAGAGTTTATTTGAGCCAAACTGATGACACACTGGGGAGCAAGATTTCAAAGGTTCCTCGTGCAGGTGCCCTTATTATCACTCCCATTTTATTTCCCCAGGAAACAAATGCTCAGAGAGCTAAGGAACTGGAAGAGAAAACGTTGTAAAGGCCCTTTATCGCTCAATTACCTCTTTTCCCTCCAAAGCAAAGCTGGCTGAATTTTGCAAAGGGGTGAGGAACTTTAACCCTCTAAGTCACTGTCAGGATGAAAATAAGTGACTCTCAAGAGTTTTGTTTCTCAGCCCGGGCTGATGTGGCCCAGTGGACTGAGCACCGGCCTGTGAACCAAAAGGTTGCCAGTTCCACTCCCAATCTGGGCACATGCCTGGGTTGGAGGCCACGTCCCCAGTTTGGGATGTGTAAAAGGCAACCAATGGGTGTATCTCACACATATCAAGGTGTCTCTCCTTTAAAAAAAGATCTCTAGCTCTGGCTGGTGTCGCTCAGTGGATTGAGCACGGGCCTGTGAACAAAAGGGTTGTGGTTCAATTCCCAGTCATGGCACATGCCTGGGTTGCAGGCCAATTCCTTGCACACGAGAGGCGACCATGCATTGATATTTCTCTCTCTCTCTCTCTCTCTCTCTCTCTCCTTCCCTCTAAAGGTAAATAAATAAAATATTTTTTAAAAATAAAAGAAAAAATATAAAAAGATCTCTAAAAAAATATTTTTGTTTCTCAGAAAGCAGAATGGTGGCTGCCAGGGCTGGGAGAATGGAGGAAAGGAGAGTAGGGAGTCACTGGTGAATGAACAGAGTTTCAGTTTGAGATGATGAAAAAGTTCTGGAGGTGGATGGTGCTGATGGTCGCACAACATCAATGCACTTACTGCCTCAGAACTGTGCACTTAAAAATGGTTAAATGGCAAATTCAAGGTTGTATATATTTTACGACAATAACAAAGTTCATCTTGATCTCCAAGACAGGCAGGCTGCCTCACAGGGGGCACTTGAAGCCCAAGGTGTAGCTCCTCATAAGAACACAAGGCCCCCCCCCCCCTGAAGGCCCCCCCGGCCCACCTTACCTGTAAGCAGCAATCTCAATGTCCAGAGCCATCTTGACATTGAGCAAGTCCTGGTACTCTCGGAGCTGGGCCGCCATCTCCCACTTGGTGTTCCTCAGCTCAGCATCCAACTGCTGGATAGCTTCCTGTGGGGGAGAGGCCGTATACATGTCAAGCACCAGCTGACACCTGACACCTGGCTCTCCATACCAGGGAAGCAGGGTGGGCATGCAACCCCAAGCAGTCTTGTCCAGCCTGCAGCTGGAACCAAGCCCCACCCTGTAAAAGCTGTGGGGGTCTCCTTCATGGACATGGAAACCACATGGAGCAAAAATCCAGCTATGTATATAATTTCAGCCTGGAATGAAAGTCTGGAATGAAACACACCAGATTCTAACGATTTAGAGCTGGTTAGTAAGACAGTAGTTGAATTTTCACAGATCTCTTAAGCTTAGAAAATGCTCAGTGGGCACAGAGCCTTGTTTGCTTTGACTCCCTACTGGTTCCCCAATTCTCCGAAGTGCCTGCCACATAGTAAGGGCTCGGGAAGCGTCAGTTATGGGCAGATGAGACAATACACAGAAGCGCAGAGGCTAAATGAGTTGAAGCTTCTTCCCTGTTCCCAGGCCCACGTAACCACTGCTGGAAGTAAACCATTATGGTCCTGACTGCGTGACCCAGCTGGCTGGGTGTCGTCCCACAAAGTGAAACGTCGCTGGTTCGATTCCTGGTCAGGGTACATGCCTGGGTTGCAGGGGTGCTTGCTGGTTGGGGCATCTGTGAAAGGCCACCAATCGATGTTTCTCTCTTTCTCCTTCCCTTCCCCTCTCTCTCAAAATAAACAATCTTTTAAAATAAATAAATAAACAAATGAATTACATAAAGTAAACTATTATGACTGCTTTTCATTGCTTCCTTTTTGCTTTCTTGGCTTTCTAACTTTTCTATCATTGCCACATATTATTTGCATAATGTTTTTAAAATGATGTTTTTCCCTGGCCAGGGGGCTCAGTTGGTTGGAGCAACCTCCAGAAGGTTGCGGGTTTGATTCCTGAGGGTGTATACCTGGACTGCAAGTTCGATCCCCAGTTGGGGACTGATCGATCTCTCTCTTTCTCTGTCTCTGTCTCCCTTTTCTCCCTCTAAAATCAACGAACATATCCTTGAGTGAGGATCAAAAATTTTTTTAAAATTTAAAGTGATGTTTTCTTCTGCAGTTGTCTTTAATGGGGAATCTGCCAAGGCCTTGCCCAGGTCACTTAAACTCAGAGACACTGGTTACTATTCACCAAATACCCTTATTGTGATCAGATCCTGCTACACACATTCTCACTCATATTTTCTCTCTCTCTCTCTTTTTAATCCTCCCCCAGGGACATTTTTTCATTGCTTTCAGAGAGAGAGGAAGGGGGAGGGAGAAAAACATCAGTTGGTCACTTTTTCGTACTTTCCTAACTGGGAATCGAACCCATGACCCTTCAGTCTACGGGCCAACACTCCAACGAGCTGAACCACACCAGCCAGGGCCACACTCATCTCTTAAAAAGTTTGTCCATGTCCTTAACCTTCACAGCTCTGCTCAGCAGGCATTTGTTTTCTCCCTTCTTTCTTTTTCATGGAAGGAATCCAGATTCAGAGATACAGATGAATTTCCTGGGATCTCATACCCAAGAAGACATACTGGTATATCTGGTGTGTTTGATTCCAAGGCCCATAACCTTGACCTCTACAGCCCTGCTCAGAGAGGGACAGTGATCCGTGCAGGGTCACCCACCCAGGTGAGGCAGTCTGGCTCTCCGCCCTCCCCTGCCCACCTGGTAGGATGCGAGGTCAGCCTGATGACGGTCCTCCAGCTCAGAGCGCTGCCTCTCCAGCGAGTCCTTGGTGCTTTTGAGCGCCTCCAGCTCTGTGGTCCTGGCCTGCAGCTGGCGCCGGTACTCAGTGATCTCCTCCTGCGCTGAGCGCATGGCGTCTGTGTTCACCTTGGCTGCCTCGGACAGTCGGTCCAGCCTCACTGGGAGAGAAGGAAATAAGGCAAGGTTAGACACACCTGGATATGTGTTCCAGTGCCTGGATCCAGAAGATGACACACGTGGGTTGAGGACCTACTGGGCGCTGGGTACCATCTTGGATGCTTAACTCACCCTATCTGGTATTATAGGCAGATGACTACTGCCCAAGGCCACCCAGCTAGTGAGTGGCAGAGCTGGGGTTCAACTCTAGCTGGCTCCAAAGATCAGACCGTCTCCCTAACTCAGGATCCAGAAACCCTACAGAGCAGAGGAAGTCCCCTTTTCTGGTCCTAATGCCTGGTTCAGCTCCTCAGCCAGGACTGGCAGTACTGGGGCTTCAGATGTGAAACCTGGCTTAACTCTGAACTTGTGGCTCAGAGTTTAACTATGAATTTGTGTTGAACAAGTTCACGAGCCTTTGCCCTTTGAAGGCATGAGGGTGCTGCAAACCACCATGTCGCCATAGTCCCCTCCTTGCAGGTTTCTGCTGTGCAGAGCCCAAGGTCACTGCAGAGCGTGGGGCCCGTGCGCCAGCCCCTCTGGCTGCACATTCTAGCACCGGAGCCCGAGCCGATGGCAGCCACACCTGGCCCCTGCCAGCAAAGGGCTGCCGCTTCCCCGACCTGGGGCCAGTGGAGGTCTAGAGACTAGACCTCCTGAAAGTGAACGTGTATATCACCTGAAAGTGAACGTCCTGGATCCTGAGAGAGTGACACCCAGGGCCTGAGTTAGGGATGTGGGAGGACAAAGGGAAGCCAGCCGCATGGGTAGGACGGACTTCCTGTACCAAGGGCAAAGCCCAAGAGAACAGAGAGGTTTGCTCTGGGAGGAACCTTGCTGCAGAGATGGGGGAGGGGACAGTTCTGTCACTGCAGAGGAGTTGGGGGTGGGGGGCAATGGGGAAAAGCCACACCTCCAAATCCCAGCTGTCCTGGCTTTCCCTACTGGTGCTGGCAAAGATTTAGAAACCATCCCTATGGGTGATGGTTTACCCACTGTGGGTCACAGGCTGGAAATCCCTGAGATACCTGCACCCTCTCCCAAGAAGAATACACAAAGCTTTACAGCTGGCTGGGGGAGGGGGGAGGGAGGGGGAATCATGGAGCTTTCCAGGGTAAGAAGCCCACTCCCATGGTTCAACAGAAAGAAAGGAAAACCAGAGAGGTCAAGCACTGATCAAGGTCACCCAGCAGCTGCTGGGAGAAGCTCCAGAGTTGCTGCAGCTGCAGTCTAGCTGACTCAGGGCGGCATGGCGGCCGGGGGCAGCCTTAGGAGTCTCCCTCCCAGTGCTTCCAGTTTCCAGGGCCAGGAGAGGGGACATTAAAGGGCTCATGGACCACCTCAGTCTCCAGTACCAACTGGTTGTAGTGATGGTCCCCCCTGGGGAGAAAGGATGTGAGAATGACAAACATCTCTCCTAAGTAGTGGGGAGGAGCCTGATAAGGGTCAGAAGAATGGAGTCCCCTGACAGTGTGCAGGAAATGGGGATGGGCAACGTTTGCGCATGGAAGGCAGTTTACTTTGAAGGGCAAAGAGTCTCTCTCCAGCGCCTGTGATCAGAAGCCAGCATTGCTTCGGTAGGATAAAGGGAATCTGAGGAAAGGGGCTTCGGTGTAGGGTTACCTAACTATGGTGGGGGAGACCAGAGTGGTCCCAGAGTTAAATAACAAACATAAACGCCCTAGAGGAGGGCACCCAAAGGTGGAACCACAGTTGTGGAGGGTGGAGGTGAGTCGGTCCCACATGAGACCCAGAGAGAAATCATTACTCAACTAAGCATTAAGCACTTTGCATGGGGCAACTGAGTAGCGCACTCTCCAGTCCTACCACCTCCACGCAGAGTCCACCAGCATCCCCTGGCGTCACGCCACCCTGCCGGACCAGCAGGGGGCGACCTGTCCTCCCCACCACCCCAAGTTTGCGAACCTCGGAACCACTCCTCGGACTGCAACGTGCTTTGCACCGCGTGGCCCTCGAGCTGCGCACGGATCTCGCGCAGCGCCGACGTCACGTCGCACTTGAGGGCGTCCCGCGAGTCGGCCTGTGCCTGTGCCTGAGCGGCACTGCAGCCCTGGATCTGACTGAGCAGCTCCCCCACCTCTTCCTGGTGGTGGCGCCGCAAGTACCCGCACTCCTCCTGAAGGGCTTGCGCTTTCTTCTGCAGCTCCGCGCGCGCTGCCTCGGCCTCCTGCGCAAAGCGCGCGAGCGCGCGCGCAGCCGCCTCTGCCTCCTCGCGCTGCCGGGCCTCGTCATCCAGGCGCTGGCGCACGTGCGCGATGTCCTCGAGCAGGTGCTCCTGCTCCAAGCGCAGCTGGCCGCGCGCTGCGCCCAGACGCAGCACGACGCCGCGCATCTCGCGCACCTCGCGCTCGTACAGCTCGCCCATGGCAGCGCGGCCCGCCTGCTGTTGCCGCAGCGCCGCTGCCTCGCCCTCCAGGCTGCGGTTGTGAGCCTCCAGCTGCCGCACCTTGTCGATGTAGCCCGCGAAGCGGTCGTTCAGCACCTGCAGCTGCTCCTTCTCGCTGCGCGCTGCCACCGCGGCCACCATGGTGCCCTCCGGCCCGTTGCTCAGCGTGTCTAGAGAGTCGGTGCTGGAGGCGACTGCCGCGCCGCGGAAACGGCTCGGCGAGGCCGACGCGGAGCTCACCGTGGTCCGCGTCCATGAGTGGAAACCACTTGACGAGCCGGCAGCCGAGCGCGCTCCGCCCGCGCCGCCCTTTCGAGCCAGCGCGTAGTGCAGGCTGCCACCTCCGTGCAGCGACGCGAACGGGGTTCCCAGCAGCGCGTCGGCGCCGCTGAAGCTCATCATGGCTGGAGCAGGTGCGGCCGCTGGTGGAGTGGGAGCTTGGGGCCGGGACGGGGCGGCTGGCACTGCGGCAGCAACGGGACGCCTTTTATATAGCAGCCAGGCCGAGTCCAGCCCCTCGGCGGTTGGGGGGCGGGGGAGGCGGGCCCCGCCCGCCTCCTCCCCTGCTGCCCGGGGGCTGGCCGGCTCCGCCGCAGTGAGAGGGGCGGGGCAGGGGGGACCTAGGAGTGAAGGGGAACCCACGGGGCGTCAGAAGAGCGCCCCCCCCCCGCCCCGCGGTCAGATTAGGGGGTAGAGAACTCCCAGAATGGACCGGCGGGGACCCTCGGATGCGAATCGGAAGACCCTGCTACCCTGTTCTGAAAAAGAGAAAGGGACCGAAATAGGGAGAGGACGTGGACAGCTGCTGAGAACAGGGGCAGAGTGCCTTAGGGATGGAGCACTCTGTAGTCGGTGGGGTGAGGGGATTGCTGCATGAAATGGGGGCACGAGATTTTCCGAATAGTTAGAGAGGCCCTCCGGACAGGTGGTGCAGAGTGTCTGCAGCCGCCCCGGAATAGGGGAGGGGGTAAGGTAACCCTGAAGGGAGGCTTGGTGGGCACTACGGAGGGCAGAGACAGAAAGACCTCTGAATGAAGTTTCGCTGTTTCCCAAATAGCTAGAGGGGCCACCAGGAGAGGGCTCAAGAAGCTCTGCAGCCGCTCCAGAATAGGGGAAGGGGCCTCGAGTTGAGGAGAGCTGCGAGGCTACTCTTAATTGGGGGAGAGAGAGAGCCCAGATGCGGGGGGGGGGGGGGAGGGAGGCATAGTGGTCTAGACAGGTTAGGAGGTAGGAGACCCTGCAGCTGGCTGGGGCTTTCAGTGAAGGGGGCAGAGGGTCCCTGCATGGGTAGGGAGAACCTGGGCTGAGTGTGAGAGTCCGAAAATCCAGAGAGGAAGTGCTCCTGGGGACCGGGCATGAAATTGGGAGAGATGGCCCCTGTATGGGGTGGGGGGAAGCGCCAGGTTTTTCCCACTGAAGTCAGCTCCACAATTTGCGGTAAAATGACCTTGGACAAGTTGTGTCTTCCCCCACCCACCCCAGTTTTCTCCTCTGTACATGAAGGGGGCCTTATGCTGAGACCAGATGCAACTTAAGTCCCCTAGCACCCCAAGCAGCTTGGGCTCGGTGGGGCGGGTGCTGTGGCCGAATTGGGGGAGGGGAACCAACGTGCTGCCTCTGGATATGACGGCTGCTTTCCCATGGCTGGAAGTCCACCTTTCTGCCTTTCCCCTTTCCATCTCCTCGGTTTCAACTGGGCATCTCTCCCCCCACCCCCACAACAGATAAGTGGGTGTCCTGATAGGCATCCCTTTTCACCCCCAGCAGAGTGATGGGATGCTTTAAGGGTACCAAAGTCCCTCCCCGCAGTAAGCCCGATTGGAGGGTCCAGCATAAAAAGGGGTCCTTGAGCTTTGGGGGTTCCTGCAGCTGCTGGGGTTATTTGACTTTTTCTCTGCTTGGGTTAATTTCAGATGCCTTGGGGGTGGGGGCAGAGCTGCAGATGGCGCTTCAGCACTGTTCCTTGTCGGGGAGAAAGGGGTTAACTTCCGCGTGTGCCCTGGGGGGAGGGGTAAGAGGTAAGAGTATCCCCCTCGCCTGACTGTTGTGCTATGCAGATGGAGAACTGAGAAGGGGTGGGTGAAAGTTCTGGCAGGGTCGCAAAGGGAGCCAAGGACCTAGCCCCTCGACTTTCTGCTAGGGGTCCCGACCCCTGTTTCCCCGTTACGCTCCCCGCACACACCTGGGCTGTCCTGCTCCTCCACTGGGAGGTGAAAGGACCCCCGGGGGATGCCAGATGCTGGGAAGGGATCCCTTAGAGAGTCAGCGTGGACTCTGCTCCCAGGTCTCAGCCTCCCTAAGGCGGTTATCTCAACCCCTACTACCTTTTCAGTTTACACCGGTCTTCCTTCAGTGGGGCCCCTAGATGGGCCCAGGCTGATCCTTCAGAAAAGTCCTCTGCCAGTTCTTTTCTCTTTGCCCTCCACCTTATTCTCAGCCCCCTGATTCTGAGCAGACCCTGAGCGATGCAGAAGCGATGATGCTGTCCCTTTAACCACGTTTTACTGGAAGGAGAGTGCGCTGGGGAGGAGGCAGGAGGGGGAAGGGAGTTTCTGGGTTTGCATGGAGAAGCAGAACATGATGAAGCATTTTCCCCCTATTTAAAGACCCAGGCCTGCTCCAGTTTGCAGGGGGTGGAGGAGCTGTTTTGCAGCTGGTGCTGGGAGGATGGAGGTGAGTGTCTGGTCTGAGGCTTCTGAGAATGGCACTTTATGTGTGTGGGGGGGGCCTTATACAGGGTCCCCTTTCTTTCATATGGTTCCCTATTTACTTGTCATTCTGCTTGCAAATTTACCATTAGAGCCTCATTCCACTGGGTCTTTTCAGTCATCTGCTTAATGCAGAGACATCCTTGGGATGTGGGAAGGCTGACAGGCAGCTGACAGCAAGGGGCAGTGTTGGGAGCGGCCAGGTAAAAGGGGGAGGGGGCCAAGATGGATTCTGTGAAGTCCAGGGGGCCACAGCCATGGCCTAGCAGCTGCCTGTGGATTCCGAGCATGAAGTCTCGAGCGTGATGTGGCAGGAGAAGTGACATGAGGGTGGGAGCTCTCAGGTCACTGCCCCAAAAGGCCCCTCAGGCTCCCCTCCAAGAAGCCATGTCTGGCCTCCTTTACTCCCACATTCAGTTCATTGTTCCCTCCCTGGTCCCCACTGCTAACCCACCGCATCACACTTACCACTCCATTTTCATTATGTGAATAAATTACATCAGTTCTCCCGCCAAACTTGTGGTCTACAAGGGACTAAAAATTGTTCTACCCTGAATCTTTGATTTTTGAATCACTTTTACCTTCCTTCCTTCAATTCTTACCATTTGGAAGTGATGGAACAACAGATTCATCCATCCATCCGTCCATCCATCGTGTGTTTACTGAGCACCTGCTATGTAACAGGCACACAGTAAACACAGGTGACAGAACCCCAGGAAGCTCTAAAATTCCTCCCTGGGACAAAGATTCTTAAGTCCTGCCCCAATCCTAGCTCAGCATTTCCCAAGGCACCTACTTCAGGAGGATGATAGGTGTTCATCCAAAAAAGGAGAGAAAAGGGGGAGTTTTGTGGCTAAGTAGGGCTCTTGGAACCTGGACTAGGTGGTAAACACTGGGAATCCACCAAAGGAGAGTGGAACGTGCTGGGTTCCCAAACCTGTCCGACCACAGGCTCTTCTTGCCTCCAGGTGTCTCCCACCGTGGCCCACACTGAAGGACCCACTCAGAACTGGGCCCACCCCTGCTGTCCCTGGGCTGCCATCTGGGCTCCTGTAGACCCCAAGGGTGGTGCTTTTCAGCAGTGGGGCTGCAGTTTGAAGGGTAACACAGCACAGCTCTCTGAACACCAGCTAAGCATTGCTGTTACTTCATTCAGTGTCTGCAGGGTTAGACCCTGTGGGGAGCACTGCAGTCTCTGAAGAATAAGACCCTAGTGACCGAGAATCCCAGCCATGAATACAGCCAGCACTTTCTCCTTGGTACCTTCTTGAACCTGGTGCATGAGGTAAGGATCATTGCCCCTATTTTATTGATGAGTAAACTGAGGCCAGAGTGAGGAGGTAAGTTGCCCACATTGGGCCAGTGGCAGGGTCTCAGACCATCCAGGTCTAACTAAGCTGGTGTTGGATGCATGGGGTGGAAGCCCATCTTTCTGACACAGTGGAGACCTCGGTGACCTAAGAGTGCAGGAAAGAGAGGCCCCCAGAGCGGAAATGGGCGGCTGGCTGGGGTTGGGGTCTGGCCTCTGACAGGTTGCCCGCTGCAGAGTTCCTGTGCCCATGGCCCAGTGTCAGCTCACCCTTTATGTGGGGGCCCCCTTCCAGGCCTGGCCTCCTGTGCCCCTGGGTCACCTCTCCGGGGAACAGCATGCGACCACTGTTTTGGGGTGTGTTTGCTAAGCTTGTGCTCCCTAGAATAAGTTTTTTTTTTCTCCATAGAACTCGACTTTTTCTAACATGGGAGTTGTACCTTATCTTGTCTCCTCTTCTAAAAATGTAAGCTTCAAGACAGAAAACTGTACTTGAACAATAACTTTTTTAAAAAGCAAAAAAATTTTAAACGTAAGCTTCATAAGGGCATGGACTCTTGTCTGTTTTATGCACTGCTGATTTACCCGGCCCTTGGAACAATGGCTGAAATACAGTGAGTGCTTAACAAGCAGCTGTTGAAGGACTGTGCAGCCCTGCCCGAGACGCGGAGGATCACAGGACATTTCAGCACCAGGCACCTGGACAGTTCCCGGCCTGCGCCGCCTTTCCGCGGAGACCACCTCAGGATGACTGGAAAGGTGGGCTTGAAAGTGTGGCCGTCACCCTCAGGCTTGGAGCCTCCGAGCCCCAGCGGTGAAGTCGGTGACCTCCTCTGGGTCTCAAGTCCTGCCATTGACTGCAAACTCACCCTGCACTTAGTATTACCTTTTCCTTTTTTGAGTTCAGCAATTATTTTCTGTATCTATAAAGCACTGAGCGTCTCTTTTTCTCTTTGTCTCTCTTCCCCGTTCATGTTCATCATGCCCCGAATTCTCTGTCTCCCCCTTCTTTGCCCCTCCTTTCTCCACCTCTTTCCCTTTCCCCCGCTTTCCTAGCACATCCCTCCTTCTTTCCCCTCCAATTTCTCTGTCCTTCTTATCCTTTCCTACCCTTCCCTCTGTTCTCTCCTCCTTAGAAGTATCCTATTTTTGCAGGACTTAAATCTGACTTATAGTAAAGGGGAGGCAGCATCCCTCCCCCACTTCATTTAGGAAGCAAACAGCAAAAACTGAACTACGTGCAGTTTTGCATGAGCTTGCCCTGCGTGTGTCCTAGCCACAGTCTCATCCACCAGGGGACCAGCCCATAGCTGATGAAAGCCTGCTCGCCCTCCTGCCCACTGTCTGCTGCCCTGGGAGGGCACCTGACAGGCAGCTGAATCCCGTCACAGAGGTCAGGAGCTGATGGGTGGGTTTACAGATCTGCCCCGTCTCCCCTACTTTAGATTCCTCTGTGGGCAGTTGTGGATGAATGATTCTCCAGCTGTGGTTCCTGAGACCGGAAGTTAGATGGTTCATTGGTTTTTCCTGCTGGACCAGTTCTAGCAGCTGGGTGAGGCTTGCTACGTTACACGTACTCTAATGCTGTCATGTGGTTACTGAGAGCAAGAGGTGAGGCAGCAATAGGAGTAAAGGCTGTCATCTAAGGAGGGAAGAGGGTGCCTCTGCTCTTATGCCTGCTTTCTGTTATCCCTGCAGTGCTACGAAGTAAAACTACCCCTACTTCATGGTTTGGGAAATAGAAGACCAGAGAGGTTGGATAACTTACCCAAGGTTACACAGCTAGTAAGTGGTGGAGCCCAGGTCTGATGGGCTCCACAGCAGATATGGTCAACTACAAGATTGTGCTGCCACCTCTTATGTTCATAGGAAGGTTTTACTGGGGTCCCACAGGGCCACTGCCTGAGACAGGACCCTGCACTCTCCCAGTTCCACTGCAGAGCTGGCAGGGACTGCTTTGGGGCTCCTTCTGGCCCCTTTGTGGAAGCAGGGGAGGTTGAAAACTGGCCTTGACTTGGAGGGAGGCGGCTTCCCAGACGATACAGTCAGGACATTGAAATGATGGCTGACTCATATTTCTTGATGATCCGACCTGAGAGGACAGATAAGTAGAAAGCAGTCACAAGTTATGATTGATATTCACAGTGTAGATCTCGAGTCATCAGGAAGACTATTTGGCAACGATACTGCTCTGTGTGGTGAGCACCTGCCCGTGTGTGCTGACTGCCTACATACGCGATGTCTGCAGCACCCCTGCCAGGTCCAAGGGTCGTCCTCCAGTGCAGAGTAGGACATCGTGGTCGGAGGAAGGCAGTGACCTGCCAAGGCCACAGAACAAGCTGTGCCTCCCAAGCTCTTGCACTTTACAGTGTCCACACTGGCTCTCAGAAAAAAAGGGTTCCAGTGGGGTTTCATCTCTTCATTCTGGAGACGTCAACTCACAGTATATTTCTGAACAATGCTATGCTGAAGTGTTTGAATGGAGGTGTTGGGACTTAAGGAGCAAACTGTCTGTTGGATAAAAATTCATTGCTGAAGCCCTGGCTGGTGTCGCTCAGTGGATTGAGCATAGGCTGCAAACCAAAGGGTCGCTGGTTCGATTCCCAGTCAGGGCACACGCCTGGGTTGCAGGCCAGTCCCTGGTAGGGGCCATGTGAGAGGCAACCACACACTGATATTTCTCTCCATGTCTTTATCCCTCCCTTCCTTCTCTCTAAAAATAAATAAATAAATAAATAAATAAAATCTTTTTTTAAAAAAAGGCATTACTGGGTTTTTGAAGAGGCCCCTGCCAGTGGGCACAGCCCCAGGCTTGCTGGACATAAATCAAGCTTGACTTGCTCAGGGGAAGCTGCACCTTCGCCCGCTGCTCTGTAGTCAAGCTGTATGAGGGCGCAGTCTGGCAGCAGCCTAGCACCGCCCAAAGGCAGCAAACACCAGCAGGGGCAGGAAGTGCCAGGGAAGTTTCTGAAACCTCTTCCCCGGCTCTGAGCCAGGCGCTGGCCATGGATGGACTGCTGGAGTCCAGGGCACACATGGATCGGGGACTCAGAGGCACTTACCAGTGAAAGCTCCGCCGGGGGTCAGAACTGCCTCCTGGCTTCCGGGGAGGTTAGTGGTGGAGGAAGGAGGAGACAGAGCTGACCTTGAGGTCTTTGCTGTCTTTTAGGGGGAATTAGTGTTGATAATGTGCTTTTTGTTAACATCTAGATAACAATTCTGCCTCTGTGTTGGTCTCCAATGCAAATGCCCAGATACCCTAGAACTTCTGATGGAGGGGCCTGGGGATATGCATTCTGAGCCAGTGCCACTGCAACAGAACTGCCTTTCTGATCTGGCCTCAACCAACCTTCCAAGTTCACTGACTGAGCTCCTAACAACGTTAAGTGTTGTCTTCTACACACATTATCTCGTTTAGCTGTCACATCCACTGTAAGAGGCTTTGGTGAGCAAACTGAAGCCTGGAAAGGTTAAATTACTTGCCAAACACAAAACTTCACAGTCTGGCTCTGGAACACCGCCCCGTCCCACCTCCCTGTCTTTACTCACTACCTGACCACTCCCAGCAACATATTCCTCCCTCATCTCTCTGGTCTATGCCCTCCTCATCCTCCATGTCCTCTCCTTTCTGGTTTCTTGTACCCTGCTCATCACCTAAGTGCATGTCCCAGACGTAGATGATGCATGTGCTGGAGTCTCTGGTGCCTCTGCTCTCCAACCCTTCCTAGACCACGAGCCTGTGGGTGCAGGGAGCGGTGCTCGCCCCTGGGAGCACAGGATGTGTGTGCAGTGGGTGAACAAATGGTTGGTGACACTTGAGGCACAGACAGAAGGGCACAAGGATGTCCTCTCACGGTGACTCAGGAGGGACAGGGCTAGAGGGAATGGACATCTCTCTCTGCCCAAATTTTTTCTATTTTCCAGGCCCACCTCCATGAAATTCTCGATTCTACCATATTCTCTCACACCCTGAGCTGCTTGTCTAAAATCCTTTTGTTGCCCTGACCAGCATGGCTTGGTTGGGTGTCATCCTGCAAAGCAAAAGGTTGTCCGTTCAGTTCCCAGTTGGGGCACATGCCTAGGTTATGGGTTCTGGCCCTGACCAGGGTACATGCGAGAGGCAACCAATGGATGCTTCTCTCTCACATTAGTGTCTCTTTCCTGCTCTTTCTCCCGTCCTTCCCATCTCTCTAAAATAAAATAAAATCCTTTACTCCATCCCAATATTCACACCTTCCCCCTTCATGTAACTCCTCTTTATTCTTCAGCCATTTCATGTTGTTACCCCCTTCAGGGGGCTTTCCTTAACCCCCAAGGTTTTGATAGCTGCTTCCTTTGGGCTGCACAGCCCCCTGCCTTTCCTTCATTCTGGCCCAAACATCATGTGCTAAAGGGCTGTTTGTCTCCTAACTGGACTTTGAGATCCACAGGGGCAGGAGCTGTCTCTTATTCAATGTTGCATCCATAGGGCCTGGTACCATAGTATTAGCTCAGTGAAGTTTGTTGAATGAATAAATGCCAACTGGTGGTGACTTCTTATAAAATCAACTCCACCGGATACATTTACAGTAATCATAAGCCATTTGGGGCTGCGTTTCACAAGCCAGAGTCAAAGGAAGCCCGGCTAGAGGGCCTTAGAGGCCATCAGTTGTGTAGATGAAGAAGCTGAGACACCAGTGGGCCAGCACTTTTACTGCAGCTCGCAGCCACCTTGCCTCTGGTTCTGCGGCTGGAGCTCCTTGAGGGCGGGAGCCAAGAAAAGAGCGTCATTTCCTGGCTTGGCAGGGTGCTTTGCCCGTTACCACAATCACTGCCGATAACTGGGTACTCACAAGGGTGCGGGCTTTTTATGTGTATTTTCCCCACAGTTTGCAATTCTCAGTATACACTGGGAAGGAAGGTAGAATTTATCCCTATTTACAGATGAACGCACTGGGGCAAGTTACATAAGTTGCAAGTTCCCGTCACAAACTTACCCGAGTCCAATTGGAGCCTTGTAAAACTTATCAAATCCATATTCCAGAGAAAGAAACGAGGTCCTGGACTACAGAACCTGTTTTCTCTGCTTCCGAATACTAGGCAGATTCTGTGGCCTGAGAGCATTGCGCCCTCTGCAGGCGGCGGCGGGCAAGTCTGCATCCCTGTCAGCCCCGCCCCCGCGGCCTCCTCGTCCAAGCCGGGCTCTTCTGTTCTGTCCTCCGAAGACTCCGGCTCTGAGAAGCGGTGCTGGTGTCCGAAGGATCGGGGCAGAGGCATCCTGCGAGAACAGCGGAAAGGTGGCGGGAGTCTTGCCTGCTAACGCATCTTTAGTCGTAGTAAGTAATTTCCCAAAGACGCTGGCGGCACTCAGAGGGGAAAGGACCTTCCCTGGGGACATGCACAAGTGAGGGCGCCAGTGAATGGAACCCTGCGTCTGTATCCCTGCATCTATGCGACCGAGTGCCGCTTCTCCCGCCCCAGACCTCAGTTTCTGAACCTATGAAATGGGTACTCTTCCAACACAATTCCACAACTGCAAAAATTAGGATTTCATCCAGCATTTTCAGAAATTCTGTTCCCCAGGCAGACGCTGAGAAATCAAAGCTATTCCTTCCCTTGCTGCATTAGCACTTCCAAGACTGGAGAGCCCCGGAGGTTGGGGCCCAGTCCCTTCCTGGTGAACCAGTTGCCTTACAGCTTGTGATGGTGACAGACAAGAGACATAGCCACAGAAGTAACAGGTGACAGCAGTAGCTCAGATTTTGTGAGCACTTACTATGTACCTGGCTTTGCATGAAGCCCATCACATGTGTTACTTCTACTTCACTCCAGGTAGGTACTAGTCTTTCACCCCCTTTACTGATCAGGCATTGGAGGCTCAGAGTCGCAGAGTAGTTACCAATCCAAAATCACCCAGCTACCAAGTGGCTGAAGCTGTGGTTCACAGTCTTATCCACAGTACCATACCGAGAAATGTTTGACCTGAAAGACAGATGGCAGAGAGGAAAAAATGACAAGGACCTACCAGTATTCATGATGTAGACCATGAGTTCAGAGCTCAGTATGTGCTGGGTGCTGACTTAAGGGCCATGCATCGCATATGCTCTTGACAGTGACCCTATACTTTAGGTTTTGTTATTTCCACTTCACAGATGAGGCTCAGAGGTCACCTCATATGTCCCAGGACACACGCCAGCTAGCAGCAAGCTGGAACTTCGGGGTCCATTGAGGGTGCACTCTGCCCGCCTGTATCCCACTCTTAGGAAAATGCCACTCTCCGTGAATCTCAGCTTCCCCTTCTGTGAAAGGAGATGCTTGGGCTGGGAGGCCCTGGACACTGTTTTCTAAGCTCACATTCGTTGACTTTGGGGAATCTCGACATAATGTCCTGAGTCCTGGGCTTGTTCCTAATCACCTGTGACTTGGGCACATCTTGACTAAACGCCCTGCATCTCTGGCACTAAGCCCTGCCCCCAGTAAGATATGGAGACTAGACAATATCAATCACCAGGGCACCTTCCAGCTTTAATATTTTATGACCACAGACGAAGAAACAAGCTGAGGTTCAGCAAAATGTGCATCCCTGAGAATTTGGCATGAATGCGATTCACTCATTTCACT